GTTTAACAACCCTAAAGAACGTTCAGCAACAAAAATATAAGACCTAGGTGAAAGCCCTTCATAAATCATGAAATCATAAATTAGGTGTTTAGTGGATGACCGAACCCCTTTCATAAAGGCAATAGAATAGTGAAGATTAATATTATCAATGAATTCATTCTCACAATATAGTAGTTCAATGGCCTTTGAGTCAGGTGTGTGCTGGAGTAATTTTGATTTCTCCTCTCTTAAATTTTTTTATCCCATCCAAGCATAAATGCAAACCACATTCTCCATAGGTTGGATGTATTAATAATAGAGTTTGAAAGTGTGATGAGGCTTCAAAATTTTGCAATTGAATGTTTATTGTCCATGAGTTTGATAAAAAATGATGGTGGATGATGAAATACATTTCATACTTTAGTTCTTGTTATTAAACTTCCCTTAAATTTCAAAATTGGAATAAGAAAGTTAACATTTAAAGAAAGTTACATCCATTGAATAACAAATTTTTCTATTGATTAGAGAATAATATTTGTACCATTTCTAAATTTGTAGAGTAGCCAAATAAGAATACCTTCAATAGATTAAGTCTAATTCACTCTAATGCTTGAGCATAAATGCGAAGGACACTGAAAACATAAACATTTTTTAACAAACATAAGAAATTATGTCTTGAGAAATCAATAGAGAAATATTTTAAAAAGGGATTGAAAATTAAATGCACTTGAGGGGGCATTCAACTAATGAAATATGTAGCTTAAGCTATTAGGACAATTTCTCCCCAAAGACATTTCAAAGCATTTGCACAAAACATGGCAGACCTAGCCACCTCTAAGATTCGTCTATCTTTCCTTCCAAAAATTCCAATTTATTGAATGGTGTATGTAGGAAATAATTTCCTAAAGTTAATTTTAAGATCTCTTGGCATTTTCATTTATTAGGACTTGAATTTTGAACCAAAATTGAGTGTGATTCATTGTTAAAAATGCTTAATAATGTAACCCATTTTAGATTTTTATTTAATTAAGAAAACACAAAGTGAGACAGATATGATCATTGATGAAGGAAATAAACCTAATTTAAAAGATAGTTTTAACTCAATAGGGTCCCGAAATATCACTAAAACAATTAGTTACAAGAGTTTGCGAGTTTTTTTTTAATACAAACTATGAGAATGTTTAGCCATATGATAATTTTCATACTTGAGACTTTTGAATTTTTGTTAGTAAATGAGAAGAAAATAATTTTTCAAGGAAAATAAATTTGGGTGTTCTAGGCAATAGTGTGAAAGCCAAAAATCACTATAATTATTTAAAGTGTGTTAAGAATTTAAAGTAAGGGTTTTAGTAAAATACACAATCAATTGTTTGATCCCATACATTACTTAAGAGAACATGCTTAAAGTCCCAAACACACCACTACCATATCCTCCCCAAGTTCATGTTATAAAAGTGATAAATATTAGATGAGAAATTCTCAGCACAATTTTTATCTCAAGTAAATTTGTCGATTGATAATAAGTTGCAATCTATGCAAGAAGTCTAAGCATAGAATCAAGTGCCAAATATTTTGAGAGGATAATTAAACATATTGTGACCATTGTTGATAGTAACCATCTTGCAAATAAAACATGATAATTTTCATAATGTGTTATAATCGAGGAAGATATTTTTGTCTCCTATCATATGATTTGACATCCTGAGTTTACTATCCAAGTGGTTGTTTTAGATTTTTTTTTGTAATGAGGGCAGATGAAAATTTACCTTTTTGCACCACCAAGCTTATTCTAGTGCTGTTTTGAAATAAGTTTATATTAAGAGAATAGTAGTTGTCTTTGGATTGTTGTCCAAATAGCTAAAAGATGAAAAAGGCTACTATTAATGCCTTTGTTGATGATTCTCTTCATTTCATGAAAATTTCATGTCTTAAATACAAATTTTCCGTTTAAAGGTTGATTCAGAGCATTGGAGCTGCCAGCTTTTTGACAACTAGCTTCTTTGTGACAGTTGCTATCGTCTTCTTTCCAGGAGAATCATTCGCATATGTTTTCACTACTATTTTTGGACAAACCCTAGTTTTCAATGTTGGTGAATGACCTGTAGACTTGCAGGAGAGGCTCCATACTGAAGACTCCATTAACCTCAGGAGAAGAACCTTAATCTCTTTGATACTATCTTGAATATGAGAACAAGTAAAGAAGAGAGTAGAAAATGATTGAATGTACTTAAATTTTATTCTTTTATTCTATTTTAAATAAGATGAAAACATGTAATTAAATAGGTAGAGAAACAACTATCAAGGAAAAAAAATTGATCTAAAAATCTTAATTTTAATTAGAATATAGAACAAACCACACAACTAAAATAAAAAATAGCTGTTCACGAGCTGTTGGATTGCTATCAATAGAAAAATGCTACCCTGTGGACTGCTAGATTGTTGAAGATAGGAAGCTGTTGTCAACAGATTGCTTGGTTAATATAGATGAAAAGGTGTAGACCACATATTCAAAATATTTTAAAGTTAGGGCTAGTTAATGATGATGATTTTCACTTCCAGGCTTTCATTTTCTTTAAAGGAGACACTACATGAAAACAATTCATAGTCCTTTCTAAGACCTTCATTGTACGAAGTTCAATCCTCCACAATTTTCCTCCTTCCTAATCAGTCAAGTCTTTGGTACAACCCATCAAGATTCTTTATGCAGTGACTAGCTATAAAATTTTGTATGTGAAATGATGCATCCATCCATCCATCCATCCATGCATACATACAAACATGTTATAATTCACACACAAGACACAAATATGCCTTCTTAATGAACTCCCACAACAACAGTTTTATTGCAATAATTCAACACGGTTTTACTTTTCAATTAAAATCTATGTAAATTAAATCCATTAAGTATGCCAAGCGTTAGATGTTAACTCGATTTATAGCATCATTTCCCAATATATTTCTGGCGACAATTTTAGTTAACAATCTAAGTACAGCTTTTCAGGTTCTGCAACTCCAAAACAATAGGTTCAAGAGTTCAACAAACTCATTTTAGTCAAACGATCATAAAACCTCAATCATGAGCAGCTCTTGGATACGCTAGTGGTGTCTAAATACAACTAAGAAGGGTTTTTTTTTTATGCATTTCATCTAACTAAGAAGGTTTTAAACTAGAAAGACCAGTCTATATGCTCAAAAGTGGAGCGTCATGAATGTTACAATAAAACCCAAAGTTACGATTTTAAATAATAGCCTTACAAGTGGTACAAGCACATACATAGAGGGAATGAGATTGTGTTTATGATAATAAAATGATAACCTATTGGTATCGGAACAAAGTCTTTTAGTGTTAAATAAAAGAAAGCGGACAACAGCATACATGGATAATATGGAAACAATAACTTTAGACATACCATGTATGTCACAAAATGTGTTCAAAGAAAAAAAAAAGATTTAAAAATAACATAAAATAAAAGATTAAAAGTTACACAAAAGAATTCAAACCCAATATGTAAAAACATTAATGATTTATTTGGGGCAAACTTTTTACTATTTTGTTTAATGAAACGGCACCACGTGATTGTTTAGGGTGCTATTTTTACTTGAATTTTTAAAAATATTGTTTCTCAAAATGGAGTTTCGGAACCTTGAACTCCCTCTCGCATCCACTGCATTAAGCAATTATGATTTTTTTTTCTACAAAAATGCCCACTTTAATTCCATACCGCTCATCCAAGCACCATTCCCACTTTTTCGTAGAACTTCACTGACCACTCCTCTCTCTCTCTCTCTCTCTCTCTCTCTCTCTCTCTCTCTCTCTCTCTCTCTCTCTCTCTCTCCCTTCAAGAGAATATTGGTAATAGAATGAAATAATTGGAGGAGGGCGCAAGTGTAGTGGGGGCCGAGAAGTTAACCAAGACGCATTCTTCTTATTTGAAAAAATTTATATACTTCTCCTTCCACTGAGGAAATCAGGCAAGAGGTAAAACATGCATATTGGAGGTGTAGGAGGATTAGACAAGGTGATTTACAGGGTCAAATTGTTGAATAAGTGTATACAGTCTATACAAACAGTTGTTAGTGCAAAGATGAAGAGACAAAGAGAGGCTTAGGGAGAGAAAGAAATTTAATTGCCTAAAGAGAGAGAAAATGGGGAAATGAATTTGGAATAGATGAAAATTTACTGAAATTAGAGTAGTAAGAAGATTAATTGTAAATATAGAAAGTGTGGGAAGATGGATTTAGGAAAAATGAAAATCTAATTTGAAATGAAGCTACATGGAGAATGAAACATGGGCATAACAATCAATAGTTAAATTTTGATAATGATTGCAAAATTGTTGTATATGTAAATTTTACGATTTTTTTCTCATTTTAATAATCATTACCAACTTCTTCAACTGATCAAATAAAAGAATTTTGTTCATTTTAAAGAAAATGCATTCTATTTAACTATCAATAATTAATTTTTATGCAGTTAATAAATGAGAGGGCATCAAGGTAATTTTACTTTATAAATCTACAACCCAACAACTTGACAGTTGAATTTTTCAAACAAGAAATGCTTCTTTAGCAATAGCAATTTCATATGGCAACTTTTCCCCACAACAATTCTACACCTGATTTTACTGATCTGCAATCATCTCAAACATACTCTAAATCTTATTAATAAGCACGATCCTACTTTTTAATGCCCACAATCCAAAATATTTTTCAAGCCTAGAAAGATACTGATGAATTTCATGAGTTCGCAAACATACCTTTGCACAAAAGGGGTTAAGGGAAATGGCTAGAAATTCAAAATCATGCTATGGATAAATAATATTGAGAAATGTTGATAGAAATAAATCAAAAGAAAATATGTACCATGAATTACATATCGCAAAAAAATAAAACTCAACTCACATAAATGAGAAAACTCAATGCATTTCGAATGACTAAAATGGAAAAAAAAGTAGGAAATCAATTGGAATTTACAGAATCATGAAGAAAGGAAAAGGGAAAGAGTTTTAGAAGAATTTTACCGGACGGAGAGGGAGACCTATAGGATTGAGAATGCAATTTGTTTTTGGTGTATTCCAATCTGGTGGATGATTATATTTACAGGAAGAGCCAAATTTACAATCTCCAGTTCTCATGTAAAACTGGCACTCAGGTTGCCCAGGCCTCTCTGGGAAAAGATGATCTTTTTTACTACTGCTTGAAGGTCCAATCGTGGAAGACATTGGAGAATAAGGACCAGGATAAGCCAGTGCTGAGGGAGACAGCTGACTTGCTGGCCCAAAAGAGGGTCCTGCTTGACCAGACTGTTGTGCACTAGGAGAAACTGCCTGGGCTAAAGGTGGCTGTTTCACATTAAACAACACAAAAGGATGAAAACGTTGGTGCTTCAGTTCCTCATATTGATAATAAAAATAAAAGCCAATAACTGAATTTGAACCAACCAGGTAAGGACTCCAACCAGGAACTGGAACGACACCTGGAGAGAGCACCATGGGTCCATAAGAACTTTGCATGTATGCCCCCGTCAAAGCTGAAGATGGCCTTCCAATCTGCCAACCACCAACCTGAGGATATTGTTGAGCTGAAGGGACTGAAGGAGGCTGCACCGTAGGATAAAATATCGGTGCAGAGGAGGGCAAAGTGGAAGCACTAGGTTGTGGGTGATGAAATTTACAAGTTGAGCCAAATTTGCACAATCCTGTCTTCATGTAGTATGAACATTCTTTCTCGCCCTACATTTCATAACGTGAGGTAAATTACTAAATATCAGAGAAACATCAAAATGAAATGCTATCAACCTAATCATGGAACTTAATCATCGCAAAAGAATTTGTAAAAAGAAATACTAAGACCCTACAGGACGGAGCGGATATCCATAGTAATTTAAGGAGACCGGCTGCACAGGTCCTCCTCCTTGCCTCGGGTGGTGGTATTTGCACGAGGAACCAAATTTACAAGTCCCAGTTTTTATGTAGTACTGCAGAAGACAATATTACATCAAAATGGCATGTACAACCATGTAAATGTCCACTCCTTCCCATGTTTATGATCAAGCACGGTAAATACATGGATCACACTTTATGGGTAGATGCAACCACGTGCCAAAGCAGAACCACCATACCTGGCAAGCAGGCTGCCCTACACGCTCTGGATATTCTCTAGCTCCCGGCCAAAACATTTCACCTCCCTACCAAAATGAAGCACATTGGTAGAATTCAGAATAACTAAAACAAGTTCAACTCAAAAATACGAGCAATCCAGATCAGAGCATATTAACACAAAAAATAGATTAAATTGGACAAAAGAAACAAGAAGGTTATCAGATGGGATTCAAACCAATCCAAAATGCTGGAAAAGGGTAGCCCTAAACAAAGTCCAGGATCCTCACCACAACGCCTCGATCACGGGGGTGATTGTATCGACACCTTTCGGCGTAACCGCAGATTCCAGTTCGCATAAAGTAGTCACAATCTGGCTCGCCAAGTCTCTCTGGGTAAGAAAAATCTGCGCCGCCGCTGCCACTGCGGCCACCAAGCCCCAGCCGCCACATGGACTCTACCACAATGCAAAATCCAAGAAATAATAATAATCTGACATATCTCAAACTCAGTTCCGATCAAATTCCAAGCTCCAAACCCTATAAGCCCCTCTACCCCTAAAATCCCAGCCCCCCCTCCTCCCCCAAAAAAAAGATAGAAAATACGGGAAAGGAGGGAGAAATTAGGAGAGCTAGAAGCCCAGGATGGGGAAGGGACTTACCTTCGAGTCCAGTGTCAGGATCCGGGCGGCGTCCATCCCCAGTGGGGCTCCGACCGTAGGGGTCCATCACTTAAGAAGACCGCCGTAGAGAGCGACGGCCAACGTAGAAGATGGCTGGAGGTCCGAGAAGGCCCGATCGTGAGCCTATGCAGCAATGGAGCGATGAGAATCTCACAAGCAAGTAGAGAGTTCGTTCTCCGCTACGCTCTATTTTCCTTCCACACTTTCTCTCTGCACTGCTTTGCTTCCCTTTCCTACGTTTTCAAAGATCGGGATTTCCTTTTTACACTCGCTTCCGTCCGTTGGTTTATATACTCCCCAAGGAGCAGGAAAATGCAAATGGGCGTCATCGAATAATGCTTATTCGGAATTTTTAGGAGCGGGTTAGCGAGGAGAGAGCAATTACCCCGGATATTTATAGGAATAACGGGATTGCCACTACGTGGAATTCGCACGTGGCCGAGGTCACGTGAGGGACTAGGTGTTTCGTGCGACCCATGGCAATCATTCATTTGATAGGAGGAATCGTACAGTTTCCATCGGAAGGCCTCCCTTCCCGCTGGGCAGCGGAAGATTGTCGGCAACAGTGGAACTTCCCGCGTACAATATCCCGCTGCTACGTTTCTTCGTTACAAATTGGCGCAATCTGACATGGGCTCAAATCCGAGCTTGCCCAAAAAACGGTTTCCGTTTTACATATATTTTTTTCGATACTAAAGATGATTTGTTGTTTGAATCATTCAAGTCATTTTACCGATCAATTTATCGAGATAATTTTTAAAAAATTAGTTTTAAAAATGAGATCTAGCATAAGTTATGAGTATTAGTTTTAAAACAAAAGATAATTGTGATGCTCAAATAAATCCATTAATTAAGCATAAATTTTAATGTAGTTTGTAGATCTTTCAGACAACTAAATGCACAACTAGGAAATTTTTAGAATTAACTCTAAGATCATCTAAACTTTATTTGTTGTGCATACTTTTGAATTCAGAGTTATCCGTGGACAATACTTATGCTTACTCACAAGCAAGCTTTACTGTAGACTTGCATGTCTTTTCAGGTATGTAATAGGTAGTTGGTGGGTCAATGAAGAAGTGAACGCAAGTTGTGGGACCACATAAAAGCTCGTTCCAAGGCCATAAGGTCCAACTCTACAAGGAATTAAGTAAGGAGTCGCATCTCATATAAATAGTCAGGGATCCTCATAGGTCACCCTACTCACCACTCTCCTCCCATGAAGAATTCGATGTCAACTCTGCTCACCATCCATCGGGATAGGTAATTGTTGATCTCAATCACCACCTCAACTATAGGGAAAGTGACTACTTAAAAGGCTCACAGCTAGCCCTAGCATAGTAATCCAACCATTTAGTTCATCTATTATGCAATTCAATCTCACTCACCTCTCTCTCTCTCTCTCTCTCTCTCTCTCTCTCTCTCTCTCTCTCTCTCTCACACACACACACACACACACACACAGTGTGTTTGTGCAAAGTGTTACAAGGCTCCAGCATAGGTTGCCAATGATTTTAGGGTGCCACTAACCTCAATTCTCTCCATTCATATTTCACCAATGGGCTCGCCTACTTTACTCGCCCACACACACTTGGTACTTCTAAGCTTGCCAAAGGCAGAGAAGTCCAGTTCAAAAGAAGGCAACACCCCTTCTAGCCAACTAGAACGTGGCTTGGGTGCTTCCATGACACTTACCCTACACTTATGGGCTATAATGGATGTTATGCAAGTCTGCACATCATGCCAAGTAATATAAGATTATTTGAGCATTATTCCATCAAAGATTAGAATGATCTCAACTATAACTTTATTATTAAATCTGATAATTATTAAATTTTTCTTATCACAAGAATTAAAGGATTGTGCTGATGAAAGTAAGCAACTAAAAAAGACTAAGAGAAAATTATATGTTTTAAAATACCGTGACCCTATAATAGATATGAATTTATAAGTACATAGATTGATCTACTTAATAGGTAATGTGAATCAGAGTACATGTAACTCCATATTTATATTGGGTTCATCATAGTCTCTAGTAATGATCTCCTTCACTATAGTGATATTATCTTCTTAATTTATCCAAAGTTCTATCCAATATATATTTATACGTTGATGAACTCCATTATAATTTCCCTAATTGATTCTACTATGCCTTCATTGAGGAAAAAAAATTATACTAGATTTTAACATTGCACAAGGCCAATACATAACTTAAATTAAGGTATAAGGAACTAGAAATAACATTGCAATATTTAAAAGCACTATGATCTAATCTATATAAATATGTATTATTAACATATCATAAACCTGTTAATTAAATGAACATGTCATTGTAATCATCATAAACATAAAAACTTCTTTGAAATTTAATATTAGTATAAAAGTGAGAATAAAGAACAATAGAACATGTTTATGCCTTTTTCAAACAGCTATGCAAACACATTCTTTTTCCCCTGGTCCTCCTCCCCTTTTCTCTCACACCCACTTACTACCAACTGTACCCTCCCTAGATTACGTACAAATGATAAAATGAATATCCCACTTTATTAAGTTTTCCATATCAATTATATCAAAAAATTAATAATTAACTCTAGTGTTGCAATGCTAAGAGCAGTAGCACTACAGTGCTCCTGAAATGAATTAATGCCATGATCTTGATGAAGTGCTCTTCTGTGATGCTCTAACTAACTTGATTGACATATCAATTTTTTTAGAGTAACTGAATTAACATTTCCACCATATCACTCAGGCGATTCGGTTTAGCAGCTTTGTAGTGAGATGGTGATGCAGTTCTTGAACGGCACTACCATGCTGACATATTATCATTACGGTGCCCTTCTCTTTATTCTTGAAGTCAAAATTTGACCTTGAATGTTATAATGCTCCAAAGTCCAGCACCGCACATTTATTTATTTTTTTTCCCTTCATTTTTCATTTCTTTTCTTAAAATTTTCCTACATAAAATTATAAAGTGAGGCAATTTTAATGCAATGGAGGATAGCTTAAAATATAACAATTCTTAAAAAAATTAAAATAAAAATCTCCAAACTTCAGTTATTACTTATCCTCAAGTAATCCACATGGACTTTATTAAAGGGTAATCTTATTTTGCTAGAACCGTAAGCTTTTAAAATTTTAAAGTAAATAAAATATCAAATTAATGGATTAAATAATAGCATTCCTTCGTTAATAACTCTATTAATACATCCTATAACATAACCTAAAGACTATTTATAAAAAAAAAAATATAAAGTAGGTATTTGGTGCTATGGCGCATGAAAGATTGGTGCTATTGTGCCCAAAAAAAGAACCAATGCCGATGCACAACTTTTTTTACTCTACCAAGATGCTTGTTGATGTAGATTAATTACTTAGTGAATAGTCACGTCATTTCTTTTTTATGTTACAACTGCTCCGCCACAATGCTGCTAACTTTCAAACGCTACGATGCCAGAATGGAAATTTTAGCATTGAGGTGTAATAGATTATGATGTTGTGGCTCTTGTAGATAGAGAGCATGCTAATGCAAAGGTGCCCATTTTAACACTGCGGTGCTATCCACCCTAGAAGTTGGTGCTATCATATCAATATTGTGAGGCTCCATTAGTGTTTTTGATGGCACTGCGACATTATTTAGTCCAACACCATGGCACTAGATGAGACTTAGAATTTTATACATTTTTGTATTTTTCATGCACAACATAACTAAAACAACACAATTTCATTGAAAAATGTATTATATAAAATAACACATTATTTACACTTATCAAATTCTCCTTAGCTTAAACACATACTTTGCTTCAAGCAAAATGAAAATATTGCCTTTTTTTATTAAATGATTAACCAAAGTAAATATTGCTAATTTAAAATTACTAAAATATAGGATAATAAATCACGGTCTAGTAGTTGTAAAAATGAACAAGATTATAATTCTAGTTTGGAAAAAAATTCTAATAATTACCCTAATTAATCATCCTTATCATTCCCTAATTAGTATGCACATGTTATAGATTTTATTATTAATTTTTAAATTCTAAAGTGAATAATATAGTTTAATGATTAGATTTGTTTCTAACTAAATTTGAAACTTTCTTAAGCTCACCATCATTTATGCTATTTTTCTTATTTTATCCTTTATGAATTTAAGTTTAAGATTGTAATCAGATTCCAAGCTTTTGACTGATACCAATTTTTTAATGTACATATCTTCTCTTTTTTCTTCTATTTAGAACTATTTTCACAATTCCTTCTTTTTTCTCTTTTTTATATGGAGTATATAGTTAATTATTTTAAATATTAGTTTTTAATTTGACCCTTTTACAATCTTAATGAATTTCAAGTAAGGAAATAACATTGCTAATTCCAAATTCAAATTACTTATGATTTTTAATTTTAATCTACTCATATCTAATCTTTATTTCTAACTATTCATCTTTATTTTTAAAATTAATATTTTAAATTATAACATATAATTTGAAATTAAATCAATAACTTAAATGCCTACGTTAGTTAATTAATAGTTTTTCCACTCTTTGAAGTATAAATAGTATTCACTTGAACTATGATCAAGGGTTTTATTATTATTCTAATTTTTTATATTTTTTATTATCATTTTTACTAAGTATAATTAAATAATCATAATACAAAAATTATGGTGAGTATGAAATATATAATATGATAGAAAAATCCCAAATATGATTAATTATTTAATGTGGAAAATAATAGTTTTTCCACTCTTTGAAGTATAAATAGTATTCACTTGAACTATGATCAAGGGTTTTATTATTATTCTAATTTTTTATGTTTTTTATTATCATTTTTACTAAGTATAATTAAATAATCATAATACAAAAATTATGGTGAGTATGAGGGGAATTTTAATAAAATGTAAATAAAAAATACAAACAATAATTAAAATTAAACATGCTTTCATATGAATGATAAAAGCATATAAAATATGTGGTAACATTATATAACATAACACAGGATAATTAGTACATTAAGCACCATACAAATCATGTCAATTGAGTTGCCTTCCACATAGAGCTATATTTATTATCTTCTATCAAACTTGCCTAGATTTTTCAATTTGGCTTCATTATATTATTTTTATTCTTCAATTGGCTTCCCTTAAGATCTTTTTATTGTTATGTCATATTAACTTCAATATAACTATGTAATGATCCAAGAGGTAAATTATAAGTTGACTTAAATAGGTTTCTAAATTTTTAATAGAAGCAATTTGATTTTGTATTTGATTCCCTAATTGTATAACTATATCCTCTAATGCTAAA